ACCTGGCCAGGTGAGGTCTCTGCTCCCAGTAGAGTGATGCAGACCATCCCTCCGGGGGAGCTGGTGGTGGTTCCAGACATCCTGCCGCTTAGGACGGGAAGAACAGCATGCTTCTGTGAAATAATAAACCACTGAGGTTTGAAGGTGTGACCATAAGTTATGTGCTATGTTTGTAGGTGACGAAGTTAACGTTGTCAGGGGCAGATGTGTAAAATATGTGGTTTCCCAAATTTAAAAAAAACCCAACACTTTGCAGGAAAGCAGCCATTAAGTAAATAAATGAATGCTTTATATATTCATGTTATATTTGTATAAGTGTGTTTTGCACAAAAGTGAATTTGGCAGACAAAGTATAAGACCATTCAACATATTCTTTAAATTCCTCACCTTTCTGTTTTTTAACAGCGGCTGTGATGAAGTTTGGTGCTTCCAATATTGTGCTTTTGATCAAAGGCCCATGCTAGGAGCTTCAGTGCTGTCTGAAGTTACTGCTGTTCTCTTCTGATGCTGGTTGTCTTCTCACTTAGGAAGAAATCTGCTTTTTCTAGAAATCAGAACTTAGGAAAACAAGCAAACAGACAAAAAACAACTAGAGCTTAGAGGTAGCAGCTACACAGTTTGGCTTTTTAATCATTAATCTCATTCCACCTCTCTCTAAAACTATGAAAAATCTGTAGTCAGTCCTACACTGTAGCCACCTTGTTCATCCAGTGCATTGTGTGGGCCTCATATCTTTTCTGTGCGGCAGTGACAATAACGAACAAGATGACACGTGGTACTCACCCTACGGAGTTTATATAGAGGGGACAGACAACTACATACATGTAAAAAAGTGTTCCACAGCCAGCAGCTCTCTGGGGCACGCCCGAGCCTTTCCCCACCCCCTCCCCCCAGGCACATTCTCCTCGTCTCTGTCTCCTAACCTCCAAGGGCCCTTCTTTTGCCTCTGTAACTTGTTTCCTGAGCCCATTTCTCCTATGGCTCACTTCTTCTACCTCTGTGACTTTCTAAATAAACTTTCGCTTAGAGTTTGGGGGGGAAAAATATGTTCCACACCTCTGTGGTCTCCATCCTAGACCTACCCGTCCTCTTATCAGCTACAGGGACGTAAATTAAAACAGAAGAAAGGTTCAACATCACCAATATCTCCAAGGGCAGTAAAATGTAAATAACCAGATCTGAGGTCACAGGATGGTTTTTTTGAGAAGTAAACAGTATGCTGCTATGTGTTTCCCAGCTCCTGAATTGTGTTAATGTGCCCACCCCCACCTCCTAAATGCAACACTCTTTCAAGCACCTGCTCTCCAAAACTGGCATGTTAGGATAGAGAGCCTAGCTCAGTGGTAGGATTTCTGGATTGTAGTCCTGCTTTGGGAGAGAGAGAGAAAAAAGAGCATTTATTTATTTTGAGACCTAAGAAGTCCTATCTGTTATACTAATCTAATTGAATTTTTCCAGGTCTATGAAGTGAGCACTACTCTTATTGAACATATGAGAAAACTGAGGTTTGGAGATTTGGAGTGACTTGTTGAAATTTTTACAGCTAGGCAGGATTTGAATCTAGGACTTCAAATACTAAATTTCACACTTAATAAGAGTTTATATTTGCCAGGTCTGTTTGGGCTCTTTATATAATCTCATTTAATCCTCACAGCATCCTTGGAAGGCTGGTATCACTGCTTCACTGTGGTGAGTCTGACGGTTTAAAGAGGTGAGTGACTTGCCTCAAGTCACGCATGGAATGCAGGCCTGGCATTTCAAGCCAGATCTTTCTGATTCCAGAATTCATGCTTTGTGGCAAAAGGTTTGTTGAAAATCCAGGCCCTTCTAAATTCATAGTCTGTGTTCTATGGAGTCAGTCAGGCCTGACGTTAAACGTGGGTCAAGAGCTAGCCATAGCGTGCACTTTGGCAAGTCAGTTAACCTGTTATGAGTAGTTCCTTCATTTTTAAAAAGGGGGCAATGAGAAATAGCTGTCAGCATTGGGAGGTTTCAATATGCTTATACACACAGTAGGTTCTGTATGCTTATACACCCAGTAGGTGCTCCAGTAAATGCTAGCACCTCTCTCTGCCACCTTTCCACAACCATTACTACTTCTCCCACCCTAACTCCTATCTCCCCTCAGCAGAACTTTATTTATGGCGCTGGGATGGAGGGCTAGGGATCTCCTTTCCCTGCTGTGGGACGGATCCAGGGTTAGGGTAAAGAGAGAAGAAAATGCGCAGCAGCAAGGATTCCTGTAATGCCCGGCTCTGCCCATGAAACTTTGCTTACGTTATCGAATGAAATTAGTGTCTGGGAGGTGTTTCAGCTGACTGCTTCACATGGTGACAAGTGGCAGATCTCAGCAGTGATTCAGAGGTTAAGGATTTCACCAGAGGGCAGAAGGAGGCCTGCTGAGGGCCAGACAGCAGGCAGCATAACGGAAACTGGGTCCCAGGGTCGGCACGTCCCGTCCCAGTAGAAGGTGTTTGTCGTTAGTTTGGAGGGGAGGGGAGAGACATGAGCAAACTGAAGCGTCGGTAGGTCATCCCAAGCTCCATGTTTAGTGGCGGCTTTAGGTCGCTAAGGGAAGAAAAAAACAAGCAAGGAATTTGGTCAGAGCCTGTTGAAATAGGGTGAGTTGGCTTCTACGTAACTGCCCCTTTGGTTCCCCACCTCACCCCTCTTCCCCAGACTCCACAGTAACGGCTGTTACCTGATTTGAGAAGCAGCTTAAATGGGTTTCATGGACCTGTGACAAGGCCTGTGTGAAAGGAAAGCGAATACCTGACTGGTAGAAACAGCTACAGAAATGTATTTCTTTTAGCTGGTGGGTTGTAGATATTCATGGAGTAAGATTCATGGACAAAACTCAAGCATAGAAATAATTCACCAGTATCTCTTCTTAAATAATCAAATGTGAACATTTTCTCTCTTTTTAAAAAAACTCTCTATTGTTGGAAGTATTACAGATGTCCCCTTTTTTTCCATCCCTTAGACCCCCCTCCGCCTCGCTCCCACTCTGTCCCCAGAATGTGAACATTTTCACACACAGCTTTTCTGGAGAGCATTTGGTAATATATGTTGAAGTTCTTTAATGTATATATTCTCCAACCCTCTAATTTCCTGTCTAAAAATTTTCCTAAGAAAATAGTCAAAGGTACAGGCCAAATATTTTTTATACTAGCAAAATATTGGAACAACGTAAACGTCCCCCAGTAGGGGATTGACTAAATAACTTATGATAGTGTCCATGTGGGTAATAATTATATGGTTTTAAAAATCATATTTTAGGTACATTTTTTTGAATGAGGAAACATTTATTAGAAAATAATAGATCAAACACATTGTGTGTGAAGTGACATTGATCCTAATAGTAAACAAATAAAACATAGATTTTGATAATGTCTGGATAAAAAAGTAGGAGAAATACACCAAAATTTTTATAGTGGAATTATGGATGTTTTAAAAATAATTTCTAAGTGCATTTATCTGCAAAAAACATAATGAAAAAAAGAAATAATCTTTTATTTTCCAAACAGTAGCATACAAGGGAAAGTTTCTGTCAGATGGGCTATTAAGAGCTAAAGAACTTAGTCATGATACTTCTTACATATAGTATATATACATATTTATACATTTACATTTTAATCATTTGTTTTTACTAGTAGTTTCTTTTAAGTAGGCTAGCTTTTGCTAAAGATATTAGTTCTTGTTTTCCTGAAAGCTGTGTTCCTTTAGTCCTGGAGTGTTGACTTTAAACACAGTTTTGCAGAGTTCCAAGTAGCTGGTTAGCTGAGATGAAGGAACATATAGCTCATGACCATCTTTCCTTCCCCATCAGCATCAGCTTTCATCATGCAGTTTCCTCTCATCACTTTGGTCAAGAGGAGGGGCGGGTGACTGAAGCTGGGGTGCTCTTCAGAGACAGTGCATTTCTGCGCCTCCTCGTTTTCCCCGGCGCTTTCTCCACCCGCGTCACTGCACCCGCAGACGCAGGTAACATTCGCTGTTTCTCCCTCAGCCTTTGTACCTGAGTGCTTATTAGTTCTCCTTAGAAAGAAAAACATTCTAGGAAGAAAGGACTTTAGGGGTGTGGTATTTTATTAATTCCAGATGGCCAGGCAAAAGCCTGGGCCTGGTGGGAAAGCGTTCCTGACTGACGGCATGAGAGCTCCCCGAGCTCTGGAGGGAATGTGCAAACCAGTTCAGCGCTCACAGGAAGGTGGTTTTCTTTTTCTAATGTGCTATGATTTGTGTTTAGTGTTATCAGATAAAGAAGAGGGATTTGAGGAGTTGATTACTTTTAATTTGGACGTAAGGATTTATGTGTTATTTTATCCATCTTGAAGACTCCTTTTCCTTAGGATACTGGAGAAAATGTGAATAGTGAAGTTTAGAAAATTTTGTAAATTAAAATAAGATTTTAAAAGGACAGAGTAACATGTGCGATTTGTTTTCTGTCCTCTCTGTTTCTTGTATATCATCTTTTCATATTGATTAATGTAAGAAGCAAGGTACAATTTAAATATTTATTATGTAACAATTTCTTTTTTATATTGATATATATTAACAAATTGAATTCTTTATAGATATTACCTAATGATTGCCTTTTAAAAAATTTAACATAAACTTCTCTGACAACATCATACACAGGAAGGTTATTTCTAAAATTTTAATGTGCACGTAGTTCTTTGAGATGAAAAATGCAGGTGTTGGCTCCAACCTGAAATTTTTATTCAGTACATCTTGCATGGGGCACTGGATATCTGGAATGTTAACCAATCTGTAATCTTAGCTCTCAAGTAATTCTTTTGCTGATGGGATAGGGGATACACTTTGGGAAACATTCTGGTCAAGTTATGTTATAATTGAAAAGAATACATGAACTTTTTAATATTTATATATAAAATTGAATGTGAATATTGTTTTTTATAGTTAAGATATTTATATTTTTCAGAATTTCAAAACTGCAGAATTTTTGTGTTTTGAATAGATAATTTTAAAGGTGTTTCAGTCATTTGGGATGGTACCAATTTTGCCTAACATTTGTACATATATGTTGAACATTTTGAGTTAGATTAGCGAGGTGAGTAGGACCCAGCTTATTCACTCTAATGGTGAATATTTTAAAAATTCTTTTCATATTTTTTAATAATCATGGGTGTAATCTTATATAATTGTCTTATATAATTCAGTCTCAGTCTATGTGCTTTAGACATTCCAAGTAGTTCGTGAACACGCATTCATATTACAGGCAGACATACATGCATATCTCTTGTTTCTGGTATGTTTCTACACACTGACATTTAAAATTTTCATTAGATAGAAATCATCCTGATGCAAGGTTTTAATACAAAACATTTTTCTCTTTGTACTCTAGAGATGAGCAATCAGGATGTAATTTATTTAACCCCGACATTTCTTCAGTCTTCTTCAGAGTCACAAAATATGTTAAGGCCTGGTGGTACTCAAAGGCCTGGGAAAAGTGGTGACAAAGGTATTTGTTTTAAGCATCTGGATTTAACTGTCTCTTATGGCTTGTCAAACTCTCAAAGTTTGAAAACAAAAGTTTCTATCCGTACTTCAGGATCTCAGATGGTAATACAAAACCATAAGGATTGTACTAGTAGAACAAGTCTTTTCTTTTTATGTGTGTGAGAGTGGAAAAATTAATGAATTCTTTAAATTTGAGGGACTAATAGAATGTTTTCTTTCAAATTTGTTCAGAGGAATTTTTGAGGCCTTTAAAAGTAAAGAATAGCCCTGGCCGGGTGGCTCAGTTGGTTGGAGTGTGTCCTGTACACCCGGGTTGCAGGCTTCATTCCCGGTCAGGGTGCTACGGGAGACAACTGATCGATGTTTCTCACATCAGTGTTTCTCTCTCTCTCTCTCTCCTTCTCTTTCTCTCTCAAATCAGTTAACAAACACATCCTCAGGTGAGGGTAAAAAAAAAAAGAGCATAGCATCTCAAGAAAACATCACATTTCCTAGACAAATAAAAGTATAAGAGAATGGTTAAGAGATGAAAAATATGATTTTATTCAGACAAAAGATACTTTAGGTGCCTTAAATATTTACTGAACTTTGATGGCAATGAAGCTGCAAGTATGTTCAAGTAAAGGAGCATTCTAATTTTCCTGTTCTCTCTCTCTCCTTTCAAATATTGTCACAAATTCTAAATTGAGAATAACTTTTACTGCTTTAATATAGTGATGATAAGAGATACAGCTTTCAGATACTGAGGACACGAACGTAGGAAGACAAACAGCATTGTCTAGTGAAAAACAGAATTGATGAGAAAGAAAGGAAAGCTGATTTCTAGAAATACCTTGAAGATGAACCGCAGCCACATTTGCAGCTTCAGAACCTCCACCCTTGGCTACCAGTTTCTCCAGAATGTTGGCCGCTTTTCCCTTCCTCCTCGGTTAGCTGTGGCCACAGCCAGGAGTGCGCAGGCCAGGACGGACTTCCCGTCCTCTGTGCCTTGGAAAGGGACGCACTTCTGAAATCCTAGAACCTATGTTCTTGTGCGTAGGATTTCTACCATGCGCGAGTGTCAGTCAGAAACCTTAAAACTGTAACTACCTACTAGATTCCAAATTTAGATCAACTTGGATGATATCATTTCGTAACATTTTTAGAGAACATTTGCCCCTTTGTTTCAAATGGTGGCCCAGTGAAGGTTAGCAGTGGGCCGAGCTCTACCCCTGCTGATTATTGCCTTTTCTTTTTTAAAGGGTTTTCAGTACCCTGGCGTCTCGTTGCAGTGGCTCTTGGGATCCTCTGTCTACTTCTAATGATGACAGTCATAGCGCTGGGGACAATGAGTAAGTAATTGAAGTCACCCTTCGAGTGAGAGGCGTGGCACTAGTGTCCGATTTTGCAGGTATTACCGGCTCCGTCCGTTGTTCCCTGACCGTGATAAGGGGATGTTTCAGGTGCCTCTTGCCCAGTGGCTTTGTCCCAGACACATCACAGTGCTCTTGCCGCTCCGCTGGCCTGTTCCAGCGACCCTCATTCTTCCCCATGCACGGTAATGTTCCTTTTGATACAGGACTTGGTAATATTCTGTGTCCTGAGTTTAGATCATTGTGGATCTTAGATAAACATTCTTTGAGAAACAACTGTTCAGAAGAAATTGTGGCTTTCTCTTATTTTTCTAAGAATACAATGATAAAATGATTTGGTAAAAAGAGAGATCCCATACATGGATGCTAGAATCTTGAATTCATCAAACTTTTATGTTTCATTTGAATTCCTTGATATCTTTAGAGAAAATCACTAATATATTACTCTCATATAAAATGACATATTTGGGTCTTCCTCCTTTCTCTTGTGGATATGCTACTGAATAATAATGGTGCTATTTATGTTTCTTAGCACAGGTTTTCACACTCAAATATGTTGCTAAATGTTGCCTGACCGATGTTTACTTTGGCACCTATTTTGAAATAATGTGCTAACTATTAAAATGAAGTAAAACTGAATGGGAAGGTGTTGCCATCATAATCTCATTCAGATCTCTTATTTTATTTAGTCTGCTCTTAAGTTGCTGATAGTGAGAAGATTGAAGTTTCCGTTTTTATGGTCAATTTCCTGAGGTGTAATGGCCAATTTACTGAGGTGCAACTTCCTAAATGTCAAATTGCTAATTAAAGTAATGAAATGGGTTGATTGTCAAAATGAGATTTTTTTCTCTTTAATTTCAACATTTATGCATTATGGGTACAGTTTTGTATTATATCTATTCTATTAATTTCAGTTTTTCAGTATGTTCAAGAAAAACATCAGCAGGATGAAATTCTACAAGATCTCAGAGAAAAGTACCACAATATGCAAAATGAAAACTACTTAACAAAGCAACTTTTGAAAAATATGACTTTGGCATCTGATAGTCTAGAAAATAAAAACCTTCAGGGGAAAAGTAAACTAGTCTCACTCTTAAGAGAAAATAAAATATGTCATAGAAAGAAGAAAACCTTTCCAAAATCCTTGCAAAATACAGGTATGAAGGAAATCTTCAGTGAGAGACTGTATGATTTTTCATTGTTTCTTCTGCAGGAGCTTCAAAGCTAATGGCAGGCTTCTGACATATGCTAGTTATCTAGGTCTACTGGAAATTTTAAATTTATGCTTCTTAGAAAGAATATGGCTATTGGGGTTGCTTATTTTAAGTGTGGAATTGAGACCCTAGAAACCATGTTTGGATTAGTAGACCCATGTATTTCCCAAAATTCAATGGCAGTGCTTGCATGCCTATTGTTCCCAGAAAGTGAAATAGTATGTTAGCTCCCCTGAAAATTCAGATCATATTGGACCTGTGGTCAAATTAGTCACTTCTACTTTGTTGCTGACGTTAAATATGGATGCTACCAATAAAAATAGACTTAGGCTGCAATGGGCACAAGGCCTTTTATTTGGATGCTGTTGTAAACATAATTGTGTGTGTGTATCTGCCTGTCTGTCTTTCCATTCTGCCTTGACTTCAGATTTTTGGTCTGTTTGTGATCAATATGTACTCCCTCCAATGCAGCTGCAAGATTTGTGATAGTGTTGATGTTTGTGCAACTCTGTGTGGTGATACCTATAAAAAAATTGCAAGAGATTAAAATATTATTTTCATACAATACATTTTCTTATCATGCATAACAATGGAGTGAATTGACCTGGTTATCAACAATTAATACATATTTGTTTAGGGTTTAGAGTTTACAAGGAGTTTTTGCATATTTAACCTCATTTAGGCATGGTGATCAGTGGAAATTATCATCTCTACTATTAAAGCATTAATTTGGTATTGTAAAATATATAAGAGAAAAAATCCAAATAATGTTTATTTTATTTAGAAGTCATTCCAGAACTGTTTTTGAATTTTATTATTCTTTAAGCAGCTTATTGAGGTATTAATAATATTTTTAAAACTGTACATACTTCATGTATGCAATTTGATGAGTTTGGACATATACAGATACTTGTAAAACCATCCACAATTAGGGTAATATCTCCAAAAGTTTCTTCGTGTCCCTTTTTTCTTTTTGTGGTAAGAATACTTAACATGCAATCTATCCTCTTATCAAGTTTTTAAGTGCACAATGCAATACTGTCAACTATAAAAACCATGTTGTACAGCAGATGTCCAGAACTTATTCATCTTGCATAACTGAAACTTCACACCCACTGAGCAACTGCCCTTTATCCCTCCTACTCGCCCCGTAACCACCACGCTACTTTCTGTTTCTCTGAGCTGCACTATTTAAAATACCTCATGCAATGGAATCATGTAGTATTTGTCCTGTGTCTGGCTTATTTTATTTAGCATAATACCCTCAAGGTTCATTCATGTTGTTACATATGGCAGGATTTCCTTCTTTTTAAGGCTGAATCATACTTCAAATATGTATAGACCACATTTTTTTTGTTTTAATCCGTTCATCTGTTAACAGACACTTGGGCTGTATCCGTATCTTGGCTACGGTGCATAATGCTGCATTGAACTTGGGAGTGCAGATAGCTCTTGGCATTCCAGAATCTTGGTGAACCTCATATCATCATTCTTGAGAGCTATTAAGATTTTATTTAGTTATGGATGGCTGGTAAATATATTGCTCTGCTGAACAGAATGCCAGATAACAAGAAGTTTAACGTTTTACCTTATATGTTGTAGGCAAACTCAGTGAAGAAGACTGGTCCTGTTGTGGAGTAAATTGTTACTTATTTACCATCGAAAAGAAAAACTGGAAGGGATGCAAACAGACTTGTCAAAATTATACATCATCTCTTTTGAAAATAGATGATGAAGAGGAACTGGTATCATGGATGATTATATTCACTTTTATTCTCTTGGACTCTGTCTCACACCCTCAGACCCAAGATATTGAGGATGGGGGAGGGGCCTAGAGAAAGGGACCTTCAGCTATTCTTTGTGTTGTGTCTGTTGAGTGAGCAAACACTGTACAGTTAAGAGTCTCCCAGGAGACTCTGCCTACTAATAGAACATGATCTTACTACTTACTAAATATTCAATACATATTATCTGCCATGAGCATTATTATGTCCAAAATGGAAACCTCTTTGAGGATGCAGTTTGGGTCTTTGCAATCATCTTTCTTTCAAGAAAATCACTCCCCCCCCCCCCCC